AGTTTTGTGAGTTTTTCTCAAATAATTCTCCTTTAATCTTTTTGTAATTCAATAATAAGTTGTTCTTAATGATATATATGTTGTATCCCTTAGTTGAATCTGAGGAAGAATGATTATGAACCCATTATTTGTTGATAGTGGAAGTTTTTAGGTGGACTACGATCCCGTAGTTTTTTCTGCATCAGGTTTTTCATGTTAAAATCTTGGTGTTGATTTTGTGATTATTTGCATTATATTTGATCATTGTTTGATTCTGTTTTATTGCATAAAGAGAGAAAAAAATTGAGACTTATGAATTGTATTACGCTGAATTGATCCAGCTAAATTAGTGTCCGATTATTCCTAGTTTTTCCAATATATATATATATATATATATATATAAGACTTAACTTTTTGGTGGAGTCTCGTGAAGGAACAATCTTGTAAGGAATTTTAATTACAAGAACTGATGCTCTCAAGCCTTACAGTGCATCTGTAACTATTTTTAATGTTGCTCTTGAAATATTTTTTATAATAGATGAGAAAGTCGGGTGATTCAAAGAAATAAATCTGACTATTAATTTGAGTTAGAGGTGGTTTTTATTTATTTATTTATTTTAAAAGATTATAACGATTGAATAAATCTGGGTTTTGATGACTTTGAGCTTGAGCCCTATAACCAAAATATGATCCTCAAGCATGTAAGATTTTTCCCCTTAAAACCCTGGATTTTGAAAGGGTGGCTGTGGCATATCCGTCAAGTTAAGGAGAGATCTATTTAGGTTGAGAGGTGAAAGGAGTAAATTTAGAAAATTATTTTATTTCTAGTTAACAATTTTAATAGAATTTTACAAATATAAATTTGATCCAGCAATAGTAATTCAATTATTACATGGATTCACTTGGATTTACTTATATAAATTAAATCCATTCTACGATAGAAGTACATGGGGGGATTTTAAAGTCTGCAAGAGGGGCTCCTTGTCTTTGTTCGGCTTTCGGCCCTTTTTCTACTATAGATGTGCCTCTTGTAAATTAATCCAGCTCCATTACTAATAAATTGGCCACCGTGTATGGATTAATTGGACCGAAGGTCTCTAGTTATCTTTGCTTCAAAGTGGAGAGGTTATTTCACCCAATTTATTGTGCAATATATTATAATTTAAAGAATTCTCATTTTCTTCCGTGATCTTAAAGGAACTTATAGCCCGATCCTAAAATTAATACAGTATTTTCCCTCTTGAACACGGGGAAATAGGTTATTACAAGATTACCTTTTCTCATATGCTTTTATATTTTCATATTTTCTCATATGTATATGCTACTTATATCAATTTTTTAGACAAAAATCCACTACAACCATTAAAACAAAAAATTAATTTTGAAAATATTTTAAAAATAAATATTTAACTTTTGAAAATATGAAAAAATCTTAGAAAAAAGCCACAAAAATTAAAAACACTAAAAAATCTATAACAAAATAAAAAATCTAAGAAAAAATTAATAACTTGTAAAATCTAAAAGATGAGAAAATCATGTTATAAAACCTCGTAAATAGAAATATGTCTATAGCAACGAAATAAGTTTGGAAGACATGTTTTGTCAAGATTTTCATTAGTTACTAATGTTTCTTTTATATTTTTTGGAATTGTTTTGATTTTCTTGATGTGTTTCAACTTTATATATTGATTTTCTTGATATGTTTCAACTTTATACATTTCAAGGTTTTTAAGAGTGTCAAGGTTTCTTTTTAATTTTTTATATTTTTTGGATTTTTCAATTTTTTTAAGTTTGTCAAAATTAATTTATTACTTTTTTTTAAATAATAATTTTTGATGTTTTAAGGGGTATTTTTACAATAAAAAATAGCAAGAGGGTATATAAAAGAAAATAGAAAAATATTATAATAGCATATAAAAATAAAAATTTCTTAAAAAATATATAAAAGAATTCAACTTCATATTAATCTAGAGTAGGGCTAACATAAAGGTTAGGAGTTAAGTTTATTTTATTTTTCTTATTCTCTTCATAACTCATCAACGATGCATCCCTCTTGTATGGATTACATATTTATCAATTTGGCAGGCATGTTTAAATTTGTACATGTTTTTTTATCTTAATTTTCTAGAGCCGATCGATCCTTGTAAAAATTGATTGAATGCTTATCAAGGTCTGGGCTCTTGAACACGCATCTTCAGGTAATTCGATTCTTAGAGTTTGGGGGTGAAGTTTTGGGATATTTGTAGTTTAATGGATACAGGGCTAAGTTGAGGGACATTACGACAAATAAGCCTAAAGCAAAGGAGATGAATAACCCTAATCTACTTTACTAATATCCAGACAACTATTTAATTAATTGCTAATTAAATTAAGATTTAACCTTTTTTTTTTAAGTTTTTTATCTTTTTATGTGTTGATATAAAAAGTAAATTTTAAAAAATAAAAAAAATATTATTTCTATATATTTCCGATGAAGATGACTTATGGTTTACTGGATGGCATGGTTCTCCACTGCCCCCCACGACAACACGACTCAACAGGTAACTACTTCTGTTCTTACAATTGTTGATTGATCATATCTGGGGTTACCCTGTTTCCACTTTTCTCATGCAAGCTTCTTTGTTGGGTTTTTGATTTTTTCTATGTTTGGTATGATGGATGAACAACTGAGGAAGGAAATAAAGGATCCTTCCCTACGCCTCGCTTGTAATTTACAATCTGTCCTTTGCTTATCCATGTTTTGGGAATAACAAGACGGATGGGTCAAAATCCATCATTTCTCCTTTTCATACTTTCGTTTTACCATAACCATCCTAACATTAATGGAAAGATGTACTTTGAGGCTTAAGAATGAATGCGTGCTCGTTTTATGTTCATGCTTAGTGGTAGTTTGCTCGCAATTTTAACAAATTCATCTCACAAATTACTTTGCTTCATGGCAGTTCACGTTTATTCATAGAGATTTTTTTTGTACTGTTACTGAGATGAATTTGTTGTATGGGCTCAGAGGAAGCAAACATGCTGACAGTGCCTCAACATATGTTGGCCCAACCAGGAGTACCACAGCATGGACTAAATATTACTGTAACTCCAGAATATTGAAAGATTGAAAGGAGAAGAAAAGAAAAATCGATCTGATTATCGACAACATTGTAATGTATAGCGCCTAAATCAAAGAATATTATTTTGTGAATGTGGATGTTGATGAACAATATTTTTATCACGCATCTTTTATTTTTTATTTTTTAAAAAGGTATTTGAAAATATAATAAAGATTTTTTTATAAAATATTTTTTAATAAAAAATATATAAAAATAATATTTTTTTCTTTCTAAAATTAACACATCAAAACAATTTAAAACAATTTAAAATTTTAATTAACAGTGTGACCCCACACGGTATGCGTCCATGTCATCCCATTTGGATTATAGACGCGAGGTTCGGACTTCTTTCGTGCGATTTGAGTGCGAATTTACGTGAGAGGAAGCAACGAGTATCTTATACAGTTATTTTGTCTTCCCACGTGTCGGTCGTTATTCAATGTCTTCAGTCTCCTCTCCTTGTCCTTTTTATACCGTCTTTACTTATTTATACTTTTGCCCCTTTGAAGCCAAGAAAGAAGTTAAGCAAAGTCAATCATCCTTTTTGCTTGCTCTTGTCAGCTGCCTGCAATGGAAGGTGGCAATTTTTGGCAGAAGCTATTTGGTAAGATACTTATGCGAAGTCAGTAGACTTTAAATATAATTAGGAAACAACAGGCTTAGCTGTGATATTTGTCTTTTCAGATAAATCAAGGTTTAAGTTCTTGTTAAGAGACTATTTGAAAAAAATAAATTGTTTTTGTTTTGCTTTGATCTGGAATTGAATTGAGTAAAATTTCTCATCCTTAAAGAGTTATGTCACCAAATCTTTGGGTTCTGATCTTCTAATTCCAGCTTCTACTTTGTATTGTCTTAACTTTCTTAGGGTGAATTCTCTCTCGTTCTTGAATCACTAATCTGATGTATCATATCCATGTGTGGGCGTGCACAGGCGTGTGCAGCTGCGTCCAGTCTTGCTTTGGATTGAGTATCTGTAGCTTCAAAGAGTGTTTGTTACATTTGAATATCTCTAAACGAATTTGTTATCGTAATTGTTTTTCTGTGAGTACAGATGCATCAAACACGTTGACACTAGATGGACTGTATGCAGTCCCAAATAATCACGCCCAACCAGAAGATTCTCAGGAGCAAAACAGGGTAGATACTAATATGGAAATAAATGGCAACGATCATCAAACACTCAATTACTTATCGGTCCAACCTGGATTTTCAATGGGTCCAAGCACAGCAGATACTGATCTTGAAGTAAATGATAACAATCATCAAGCACTTGATAGCCTGCAAGTTCAACCAGGAAGTTCTGATTTTTCACCAGACAAGGCCACTACTAAACCGCAAATGAATGACAAAAGTCACCAAACATTTGATTACCTGTCTGCTCAACAGGGAAGTTTTCAGGCTGCAGAAACACCTTGCCGTAATAATCGGGTAAGAAAATCTCCCGAAGGTTTTGATTATCTAACATCTGAAAAGAAAAGATTGGCCGACAAGGCATACCGGGAAAAATCCAGGGTAAGACCAATTACCTCTCCCCCAGACATCAATGTTATTTGCTTATCTTGCCTTGCTCAATTTGTCTTCTTCCTTTCATTTTACTTTCTTCAGGAAGAAAGAGAAAATACCAAGGCAGAAAATAATCGTCTAAAGACAGAAATTAATCGTTTAAATGAAGAATGTGTTAGGAAGAATCATGCTTTAAAGTCTCAAGAAGAAGAGAATAAGCATCTTCAGCAAAAAGTCGGTCGATTGGAAGGCAGCCTTAATACACAAAATATTGTTGTGGAGGTTCTCACAAAGCAACTAGTAAGTTTCTCTCTCTTTCATTTCTTAATTTAATTGATTCATCTATATCTCACTACTATCTTTATTCAATTTTGCAGGCCCAGTCCCAAATTATTGATCTTCAACGTGAAAATACTCTTCTAAAATCTCAAATGGATCAATTAACGAGTTGTGCAAACAATCAGGACAACTCAATTATACTTCAGCTTCAAGAAAGAAACGAACAACTACGACGTGAAAACATTGCGTTCAAAATGATTTTTGAAGCTTTATGCATGAAGATAAACAATGACAAGAACCATGAAGAGGAACATACACGATAAAGTACTGTACTACTATGATATTTACTTATAGTATTTGTCTCGGCTTCGGAACCTTGATTCATTATGGGATGTTTACTGTAGCGGGAATGTATAATATTTTTGTTGTTTTTTTAAAATTTATTTTTGGTATTAATATATCAAAAATCAACTAGTTTAAAATTCATCTGGATGACTAGTATTATTATCTAATTTTTTATTTATTTCTTTGATAAGTTTTTAAAAAATTCAAAAAGTAACAAAAAAACAATAAAAACTCAAAAAATATGTATAATTGATATATTTATATTATTTTTAGTTTTTAAATAAAATAATATTTTTTTTTAAATGAAACAACAACAAAATCCAAAAGAATTCGGTTACCTGTCATAACCGAGAAAACCCATGCCCTTTATTTAAGAGATAATGGAGCTACTACTTATTCTTTTAAGAATTTTTTACTCTTGTATATTCATATTTTCTCCAACATATCTTTTCATCAATTTTTGAATAAGAAATATTCCTTCAACCATCAACAAAAAAATTAATTTGTAAAATATATAAAAATGAGATTTTAATTTTAAAAGAGTGATGAAACTTGAAAAGAAAATAGAATGAGTCTTGGAGGAAAGAAATAGAAAAGAAAATAGAAAAATATTATAAGAGCATATAAAAATAAAAATTTCTTGAAAAATATATAAAAAATTACAACTTCATATTAACCCAGAGTAGGGCTAACATAAATGCTACGAGTTAAGTTTATTTTATTTTTCCTATTCTCTTTATAACTCATCAACGATGCATTCCTCTTGTATAGATTATGTATTATTAAATTTGGGCAGGCATGTTTAAATTTGTACATGTTTTTTGCTTTTAATTTTCTAGAGCCGATCGATGCTTGTAAAAATTTATTAAATGTTTATCAAGGCCTAGGCTCTTGAACAAGATTCGATTTTTAGGGTTTAGGGGTGAAGTTTTGGGATATTTTTAGCACCACCATTAGCATCCTCATCAGAAAAACCAAGAAGGATGAGAAATCTAGAAGAGCTATACGATACCACTTTAATTATGGAAGATACAACTCTATTTTATTTCTTTACAGATAATGACCCACTTAGCTTCAATCAAGCTATCACAGAAGAGAAGTGAATAGAAATAATGAATGAAGAAATATATGTCATTGAAAAGAATGACACCTGGAAGTTGACTAATCTGTCAGAAAATAAGAAAGCAATTGGTGTCTAATAGGTCTATAAAATGAAGAAGAATACAAAAGGCGAAGTACAAAGATATAAAGTAAGATTAGTGGCAAAATGTTACAAACAGATGAAAGACATTGACTATCGAGAAGTATTTGATCCAGTAGCCTGGTTAGAGACAATCATACTGATGATCTTACTAGCTACACAACATAGATGGAATATCTATCAACTCGATGTAAGGTTAGCATTTCTGAATGGCTTCCTAGAAGAAAAGATCTATATTAAACAACTACTTAGATATATTGAAGCTGGAAATGAAGGTAAAATATACAAGTTGAAGAAAGCCCTCTACTGTTTGAAGCAACCTCCTATATAAATAGGCTGTTAAGTTTATGTTATTAAGTGTGAGAAAAAGTAGAGAGAAATACAAGAGAGAAAGAGAGGGTGTGTATTAAGATTGTGAGTTTTGTATTTTGTAAGCTTTTGTTTTTATAATAAAACCATGTGTTTTATCCCTTTTGAGTATTCTAAAACCATCACTAGTAGTTTCTTTCACCATTAGTCTAATCAGGCAATTCAATGTTAAGAATACATTTCTAAAAGATAAGTTGGATGAAGATGTTTTGTACTCCACTAATGTTAATTCTATTTTTCTTTACATATTTGTAAATCAGATGAATCTTATGAGTTGAAGAATAGAAAAAGAATTAATAAAGAATAAAATTAAAAAAGATAAAAAAAACTCTATTTGAGCCTACCCAAGATCACGATGCAAAATCTTTAACTTAGTCTTGATACCAAGGTAATTGAGTTTGAAAGCAAAATAAATAAATTCATGAAACTCAATTATCATTTAAATAATATAATGTTGAAGAATGAAAAAATAATAATTAAAAAACAATGGAAAAAATATGAATAAACCTGGATTAACTTGCTAGCCTAGCTAATAACCGTGAACACAAGATCGAGATAACCTAATAGAAAGGAAATGAAAAGGAAAGTACAAAGATTAATTTTCAATAAATAAAATATTGAAGGATAAAATTAAAACAAAATAATTTAAAAAATAACAAAATCAAAATCAAAATTCAAATTCAACCAAATTAAGTTTTGAAATCAGCAACTCTTGTCATGAACCAGGGACTAATACCATAAAAGGCAGACCATAAAAGAAAAGAAGCAAAACTAAAAAAAAAAAAAGATAAAAAAAGACTCGGCCTTAAAATAGAAAGAGAGAAAAAAATTGGGTGATCCTCATAAACTTGGTTTTATCTCTAAAACTCATATCGTGTGAAAATCTTAAAATCAAGTTCAATAAAAAAGCTTAATTATCAACCAATTTAATTTTGAAGATAAAATCATGAAAAAATATTAATCTAAAAAATTTGTCAAAGAAAAAAAAGATAATAATAATAAAAAAGAACAAATTTAATAGAAAAAACTCAAGAATGATAAAATTATAAAAAAAATCTAAAAAATAATTACAAATAATTTAAACACATGAAAATTAAAAGAATAGAGACAAAATATGAAAGACTAAAAAATGATAGGAGGTAAAATTAAAAAATATTTATAATTTAAAAGAATATTCAAAATAAAAAAAATAGTAATTAAAATAAAAGGACTAAATATCAAGAAAAAATAAATTATAGGGATTGATATAAATTTTTATATAGATTAATGTTGAATTCAAGGAGGAGACAAAAAAATAAAAAAAAAATGTTAGTGACAAATCAGACACAAATTTAGCCGTACATCGCTCATCATAGAGGGGACGCCGAAACCTTACAAACACTTTGGTTAATGCATGTTTTGTTTTATTGTGAAGGGGTGCTAGGACCTTTTAAATATTATTATAAAAAATAGTATTTTTTTTTTAGATTAACGTGGGTGTCCGGGCCAGTTTGCGTACACCACGACTAAGTTTATAAATATTATAAAAAATAGTATTTAGTGGTTAATGACTTAGTATGCTCTTCCCAAAGGATATGGAATTCGTCCACTCACGTACCATGCATGCTCTAAAAAGCTATTACAAGAGAGTTACATTAATTTTGTAAAGTAATTCCACTATTTTGAAAAAATAAAATAAAAAGAGTATAACACCAATGATTGAAAGGTATTAGTTTTTTTTAAAAAAAAAATTGTAGGGATAAATCAATAATTTTACTTTGCACAAAAAAATAAAATTACTAACCTAACTTAACACAAATCATTAAAGACTACCTTTCCTCAAATGCTTAATTTCAATTTTTTTTATGCCAGGGGTAATTTCATCAAATCACAATGAACAACTATAGCTACAATAATTTATCCTTCTCCTTTAGTTTTTTTTTTTAATTTTAATATCAATATCACACTATTGTAAAATTATAATTATACTCACCCTACGATTCAAGTAGGATTTTAAAGTATTTTTTAACAAAAAAAAAGGCTACAACATTATAAATGAAATTTTTGGTTTCACAAATTTTTTAATTAAAAAAATATAAAGACAATATTCATGTTTAATAGAATAAAAAACTTAATAAATCAAATAATATTCATAAACATTGCGTGAAGCTAATCTTCTTTGTAAGGGAAAAAATTGATGCACTGCAAATATTTTATTTTATTTTGGAGGTTAATTATTCTACTCATTAAATATATATGATTTTTGTTCTTATAAATAAACTATACAAATACAACTTGTTTATTTAAAAAATCGAGATGAAAAAAATCAAAAAAATTATAAAAACAATTCAAAACATCAATTAATATATATATATAATATAATTTAAATTTAAAAAAAATGAAAGAGAGGTTATTAATAAAAAAAATAGATTAAAAAATGAAAATAAAAAATAAAATAAAAATGGCCCGCATGCCAGTGGCCTACAGGGAAAGGCCTATGCATAAGTGATCCTAGCATACCATTGTTGTACCTAAATGGCGGACAACATGTTTTTGTTTTTTTGACTAATGGCATGCTATACAGCTTGGTAGATGATGTGTTGCTCGTTTTGGTAATTTACTATCATCTCCACAAAAACTAACTAAATAACTTAAATACCCTCAGCTTCAGTAACCTTTTATATATATATATATATATCTTAAAAGTTTTGCTTTATATTAAAAAAAAAAGAAAAGAGCAGAGAGAGTTTAAGGCTGCTAGTGTTTTTCTAATGATATTTAAACTACTATTTCTTAGAAAAAATATAATAAACATTTGGATGGAGAATTAAAATAATTATATTAAATTTTAAAGCTACTTATTTTATTTTTAAAATTAAAAATTAATTATATTAAAAGAATTAAAAATTCACCAGTTAGGTTGATGATTTACCGATGTTAAGAGGATTTAAATTATTTATATATATAAAATATAGGAGGAAACTTGAAAAAAAAATCTTTATTTCAAATATATCAAATCAAAACTGAATTTGAAAAATATAAGAATGAATTTAACAATTTAGCCAAAAAAAAGAATTACCTAAGAAAAGGGGTGGATATTTGTCTTTAATGAGCTTCTGAAAGCGACCTTATGGGGCCTATGGTGTACATGTCTGTGGGGGCCGTCGAACACGTGGCATCGATCCAAGTTTCTGTAATTCTAGACAACAACTAGCGTGGCCCGCGGAGTTGTCTGAGCGAAGTCGTCCAATTTCCCAAAGTGGACGTGCGATATCGAATGGCTTTCGCGCGATTTGACTGAGCTCACAAGTTTTCTGACAATCTCCATATGTTTATTTAAAAGAACTGAAGTCTCTTCATCTTCCCCTACAGAAGGCGAATCCCATGAAATGGAGGGTGCCACTGCTAGCTTCTGGAAAAGAAACCTTTTTGAGGATCTCTTCGATGACAGTGAGTGAAAATCGCAGCTCAATCATCCCCACCATATTGCATTTTCTTTCGACTAATTCC